CACTTCTGCCTTTGTTCCAGGCTCATCTGGAACACTTTTTGTCTCCTGCCTTGCACACACAGACTCAGGATAGCTCTGTGTTGCCTCTCCTTCAACATTCAATCCAAACCCTCTTTCTCCAGGGAGATCCCTTTGATCAGCACAGTTGGAAAATGCCTCACCTCTCTTTGAACTGAGGAGGATCACATATGGCTCTTATCATAGTCAACTTCGTATTATAACTCTGTGTGCTCTATCACAGACACGACATTTAACACCCCAGAACTGAAGAATTGAATTTATTTCTCTCTGAGTTTTAAAATAATAGTGTTTTCTGTTATGTGTTCTGAATGAGTGGAGGAATAAAATGACCATTAAAAATTGATATTCATGTGAGTACCTTCAAATTGGGAATCTAGATAGGATAGCAGGATTTAAAATGTTCCAAGGAAGGGGCTTGCTTTGCAGAATGCTTTTTAAAATCTAATCGCCCCTAGAGGGGCTCTTCTGACCAGGTGTAAAGCTAGATTGGCTTCTCCTAGGTCAGTGGTTCTCAACCTTCCTAATGCTGTGACCCTTAATACAGTTCCTCGTGGTGTGGTGACCCCCCCACCATAGAATGAATTTCATTGCTGCTTCATAATTGTAGTTTTGCTACTGTTATGAATTGTAATGTAAATATCTTTGTTGTTCGAATTTTAAGATGGTCTTTTAATAAATAAAACCCAGAGCCAGATATCAGGGTGAAAGCTGAAAGATCAGAGAAGCAGAACAGCCAGCCACCAGCTCTTAACTCTACGAAATCCTCAGTCTAAAGAGAGAGATCCTGTTTCCTCACGCCTTATATACCTTTCTCTGCCCAGACATCACTTCCTGTGTGCTTCCCAGTACTGGAATTAAAGGTGTGTGCCACCACTGCCTGACTCTGTTTCCAGTGTGGCCTTGAACTCACAAAGATCCAAACCTATCTCTGCCTCCCGAGGGATAGGATTCAGGGTGAGTGCCACCACTGCCTGACTTCTATGTTTAATCTAGTGGCTGGCTCTTCTGTCCTCTGATCCTCAAGCAAGTTTTATTGGGGTACACAATATATCACCACATATCTTATATGTAGGATATCTGATATGTGACCCCTAAGGGGTCGTGACCCCGAAGTTGAGAACTGCTGCCCTATGGTGCTGGCTTCTTCACCAACTGTTAGACCAAGTGGGTAAGGGTTTAAACGTTCGCCCCACATTTTTCCCCATTGTCCTCTCTCGTCTCATTGTGCTCTCCATGCTCGTATGTATCCCTTCTAGAGGTGGTGCCATATACCAACTTCTCTGAAATTTGTGATTGTTTTGGAAATAAAAAAAAATGTATGTTCTCTTGGGACTTTTGTTCATTCCCTGGGAGTCTAGGTCCACTAGTGTGAATTATTCTTCATTTGCATAAGTCGTTAGCTCTGTGAGGGCTTGTGTGGTTCAGTTTACCATAGTTCCTTGGGCTAAGGAACACTGATTGCTCTTGAACCCACCCACCCTTGGTCAGTGCACACTTAAACCTTTCCTATACAGTAAATCATGTCTGTGTACATACACTATTGCGATATTTCCTCTCAACTTTTCTGTGTTTGCTAATGTCAGAATTTCCCGTTTGAGAGAGTGACATGATCCCCTAGAAGACATGGAGTGTTCTTCTCACTGTCCGTCACTTAGCATCAAGCAGATGAGATTAGAACTAATTTGCAGATTAAACTCACTAATGGCAATTATACTGGTTGTAACTGTGGCTTAGTGGAGACCACAGTTTGCTTGCTTAGCCTTTGGAAATAATACCAAGTCCAAACTAATTCCAATTTCAAGGAAAAGAGCAATAAATAGAACACGTGTAGTAAGCTTATATAACAAGGAAAGTTCTTCCTGAGTTTTCACTTGTGTGAATTATTGTGGAGTCAGTATAATAAAAACATTAAAATAGCATAGTACTGGCTTGTAATTCACTAGGGCTCTTGAAGCAATGTGTGTAGCTCTATTATACACTCCTGAAATAGGACCAGATTGGGGAGAGACTCAGCAGTCAGTGTGTATCTTAACAGATATTCATTTCTTGGCAAACTCTTGTTCAGATGTTTTGCTAAAATATCATTAGGTCTCAGAATAGTAAGGTATAAGACAAAGCTGAATGGAATTTTGTTTAATTTTAGGATTATTTATTCAAATACTGTTTATGGAGTAGAAATGATTGAAACATGCTTTTTATAAATCCAGTTCACACCAGATTAACATCAATTTCCCCTGTAATGATCCACAAAAAATAGAGAAGGTATAAAGTTTGCAAATAGTTTTCTAAGTGAGTGGAGTGCCCGATTCTGAACCTTTCCACCTGAAGGCCTTCAATGAGCAGCTTCCTTAGACTTACATGTTCAAGGTGACAGTGGGTCCCAAGAAAACAGTTCAGCTGCTTTGAAAGGAACTAATGCTGCTTTTCTGAGTGTCCCAGACAAAGTCCTTAGCATAGCTGGGCTCCAAGTGCTGTAACACCTAATTACTCAATACACCCATGTTGTGGCCCCCACCATTTAGTAGTTCCTTCAGGAATGGCCTTGCTTTTTTCATTCTGGTGGCAGTGAACTTGATCCCTAGCCACTAAGTGGCATCTAGTAAATTCTTTATCCTTTCTCTTATCTGCAGAGCAGGTCTGCCTAAGCAGACTCACCTTTGGGGGTGGGGCAGTTAATGAGAAATGTAATTATGAAGGCGGTAGACAGCTGTGGACTCAAGAGGAACCTAGCATAGGCTCAGCAGCAGGTGCCCTCAGTACTGACGTGAATTTGACCAATTTACACGTGCAGCAACCCTGCTGTACCTCTGCCCTGGGCGTTGTGTTTCTTGTTGCTTGTGGGGTGTTTTTAGACTCTCAGAAGCTCATCTTTTGCTGCATGGTGTCAAATGCCTGTAGTCCCTGTGGATGGGAGGCTGATGTAGGAAGACTTCACCCTGTCTCAAAAACAAAACATACTTGACACTGAAATTTTGAGACACATGACAGATCTGAGCTCCAAAAGAAACTCAGTTCTCTGAACGAACACCATTCTTTTTAGTGACATTAACAAAGATAGAACAGGTTTCTGCTCTACTTTTATTTTTGTTGAGATGGAGGCTTACTGCACTGCCCAAGCAGGACTGGAATTCACAATCCTCCTGCCTCAGATTTGTAAGCTGAGATAACATGTTTCATACAGCTTGTTTCACTTGAAAAAAATTTATTCTATGAAATTCAAGATACACGTGCTTATATAATATAGAAAAAAGAACAAGAGTCAGAGAGTTGGAAACTTGAGCCTGAATCTTTCATGTAATACATGGATCTTGCATATAATATAATGTGTATACCCTATGTATGCAATACATATCAGTCTACAGATACAATACATATCATTCTAGATGACACCAAGGAAGTCACTCACTCACTCACTCACTCTCCATTCTCTTATTGATATAATACTTAATATAACTACCTACCAGTAAATAGTCTTGAATGAGCTAAGCCACTTAAAGAATAAAGTGTCATTTACAGATAGGTTAATCCTTGAGAAACAAAGTTCGACCCTGGATGAAAAGGTGATTATGTTCCCAGACTAGAATGAAGAACATTTCCTTTACCAATGAGAAGTTTTCTAATCTCTCCCTAGGGATGTGTAATAATTAACAACAGTGTGCTGATCTCTTCTTTAGCTCTATAGAGACACAGCTTATATCTGATCATTTTTGAATGAAGAGGAAATATTAATAAAGTGTTTCACTACAAGCTGCTTTACTCGATTATAAAATCTTAAGCAATATGGTATTTTCTTTTAAATTTTATTTATTTATTGTCTTTTTCCCCCCAGAGCTGAGGACTGAACCCAGGGCCTTGTACTTGCTAGGCAAGCTCTACTACTGAGCTAAATTTCCAACCCCTAAGGTTTATTTTTAATTAATTTATAATTGCATCATTTCCTTCCTCCCTCTTTTTAATATTACCCATATCCACTGCTCCCTTTCAAATTCATGTCCTTTTAAAAATTATTATTGAGAATTTTTATAATCATTATAAAATAACCAATTATTTTATAATTAATTATATTACACTACTATATAATATTTACTCACTGAGATCTGCCTGCCTCTGCCTCCTGAGTGCAGGGATTAAAGGTGTGCACCACCACCACCTGGCCTAAATTTTTCATACATGTAAAACACAACATATATTCAGCTGCTCAGGCCCATATAGCACCCCCCCCCCCCCCCTCAGAATTTCCCTTCCTGAGTTTGAACCTTTCTTCCTTCAGGCTTTGACCTTGGCTTTGATCATCACATGTGTTTGTATGCATGTGTGTTCTTGTGTTCATTTGTGTGTGTATGTGTGTGTGTGTGTGTGTGGGTGTGTGTTTGGGATCTTCAATTTGGAGGCCACTTTAGGACCCTGGTAATGATAACATGCATGCGTGTTCACATACTCCCATAAATGTTCCCACATTCCATCCACCCTTTCAGCAATTAACTCGTTACTCATTTTCAAAAGAAATTGGTTTTATCCAGTCTTGACTCAAATATGGTTATTTTTAAAGGTAACATATTCCAAAGTGAAAGATTTGCCAGCGTTGAAGATATCTCAAGGAACTCACTAGAAGTACACAGGAAATATGAAAAGCAATGGGCAAAGCATGGTCCTTCTAGTGGCAGCTGCATAGCCTGCAGGGAAAGCAGCCCACATTCTAGATTTGGGAGGACATGGGTTCAGGTTCACTGTATCACTCACTAGTTGTGTTATGAAAGAGAATACTGCATTGTTTTTTCAGCCATGGTTTCCTCCTGTGCAAAGAGATCACATGATCTATGCAGACAGAATATAATCAGCCCATGATAGTTATGAGCAAAGCCACATTCACACTGGGCTATGTTTGGTTATGAGTAGTGACATTCATGTGTTTCATGGGGCTGACTGTGGTATTCCTTCATACTGTTTCTGCTGTTTACTTAAGTTTGTGTGTCCCGCAGGAGCGTTTCCAGGTAAAGAACCCTCCCCATACATACATTCAGAAGCTCAAAGGCTACCTGGATCCAGCTGTAACCAGGAAGGTAAGGGAGATATGTTTCTACTCTTGGCTGTTGCTTCTTCTTTAGTGGGCAGAGTCCTGCATCATACTTTCTTTTGTGTTAGTTTTTGCCAGAGCTCCAGGCAAACAAGCTTTGGAGATCTTCAACATGAGAAGACAAAGGGGGGAAAAAAGTCTTCAACATGTCCCTCTGGTGGCCACTGATATTGTCAGTTCCTATTGCTCAGAGTAGTGAGTCCAGTCCTGAGGTGCTTTGGCCTCTAACAAAGCAGGCCTTGCAAATGCAATGTTTGTCCTTCATTACTTGGTACCCTTCTAGAACCCTGAAAAATCACTGGGGCTGCCTCCCCCACACACCCAGCTACTTACTGACATCGTGTATTGATACTTCAAGCAGCTTTCTCAGCCCCAGCCCCAGCCCCAGGACCAGCCCCATCCTCAGGCCCAGCCCCAACCTTAGGCCCATGCCCAGGCCCAGCCTCAGGTCCAGCTTCAGCCCCAGCCTCAGGCCCAGCCCCAACCTTAGGCCCATGCCCAGGCCCAGCCTCAGTTCCAGCCCCAGGTCCAGGTCCAGCCCTGACCCCAGCCCAGCGCTTGACCCCAAGAAGGTAAAGAGGGAATAGCTGATTTCATTCTTAACCATCTCTCCTTTTACAGACAAGCCCTGCTTTGTGTGGCTGCACAATTGCCTTAAGCTGATGCCTTGCGGTTAAGTATGTCGCCTGGCACAGCCCTGCAGGCTGGGTCAGCCCCGGGATGGCTCAGGGCAGAGCTGTCCTTGATGACTGTGGGTAATGACACTTTGTACCAGATAGTGCTTGTTTCCCCTTGGCCTTTATAACTCCCATTTTCAAGGCTTCTCAGGCTGAATTCCTGTGCTGTCAGTGGTGATTCGTGGAGAAGAAAAGCACACTTCTGTTGGTTAGCTGTTTCCAGGGTCTTGGATCACTCTTCTCTTTCCTTTTTTGTTTTGATTCCCTCTCTCTCCACTCTGCCCTCCTCCTAACTTTTCTCTCTTTTCTGCATTTTTCCATTCTAACTTTTCATTACCCAAATTGTCCCCTCACCCCCCACGCCCCAAAAAAGAAATGTCCTGCAAGTGTAGCTCCCATTCCCCTGGAAGTTTCCTGAGTCTTTGTCCTCTGGTTTACTTATGGACAAGATTTCAACAATAGAAACGATAATTGAACTTTGAGATCCTGGTGCTGGAGAGATGGCTCACTGATTTAGACACTTGTTGCTCTTTTAGAGGACCTGGGTTTGATTCCCAGCATACACGTGGTGACACATCTGTAACTCTAGTTCTAGGATATCCAACACCCTTTTCTTACCTCCAGAGGATATCAGGAATACACATGGTGCACATACCTTCAAGCAAGCCAAACATACTCATAAAATAAATAAGTTTTTAAAAAGAAAATGGAGAACCACACTTTGGTTCCATGACATACAGTTCTTGAATGTCCCCTGTTTTCCCTCATCTTCTGTGAATGTGTCTGGTCATATTTCTCCCCCTCAGAAGTTTGCTGACCATTTGTAAAAGGTCTGCATTTAACACCCCACCCCCCACCCCTGTGCACTTCAAAAAGTAATAGCTGCTTAATTCCTGTTAGTTTCTCTGATTTATTTCTTAACCTGAGCATAGAGCAGCCTTAATTTTATAGGTTAGTGAATGCCATGACAGCAAGCACCTCACACACAAAATATACACCCCCCTTTTTTAAAGCAGTTTTGTCTATACTCGTTGTTTTTGCAAGGGTACTCAGTCCATACCCAAGAGTTCTGCTGGTCCTTTAGGAATCCCCAGACTTGAGAGGATGGTTGAGCGCTCCAAGGTCACTAGGCACACTTGTCCTGAGTGAGTGGGGCCGAAATGGCAGCAGTTATATACAGAGTGAGTGAACTCTCCCTTCATGCAACATGCAGTTAATTCTAGAAACTACCCCTCATTCTAGAAAGAAGGCATGTGATACACTTCCAGAAATGGTTGCCTGGGCTCCCAGCCCCCCCCCCCCCCCCCCCCCAGGAGGAGACAAAGAAAACCAAGCGGAAGAAAACAGGGATCCTCTGTGTTAAACGTTTCACTCCTTGCTGGATCACTTACTAAAGAGGAATGGGCCTGGTGGTGGTCATATGAACCACTGATTTCTCTGTCCTGACCCATGTGTCCACCTGAATGTGCTTGTTTGGAGAAATGAACTGGATGTAGGATTAGCACCCCAAACCCCTGCTGTAGTAAGATTTCTGTCAGGACCTGCGAGTAGGAAAAGATCTGTTCCGCACAACATAATTGTGATGCTTAAGCCCCAGAGAAAAAGGAGATTTGTTTGGAATAAGGCATGGTTTTCAGTTAAAATGAGCTTAAAATTCTCAGCTGTGGTCCGGTGTTGGGGAGTGTTCCATCGGGCCTTTAAATTTTAGCCAGACTGTCTAGGCTGAGCAGGCTTCCTTTAACTGTGGTCAGGGTCCTTGAATAGCTCATTCATTAATCTTTTGGTCAAATTAAATAGAAGATACTTAATTTGCCCTTAAAAAAAAAAAGCAACAACAATCCCAAGCACGTTCTGTTTAGAATAGCTCTAAATGAAAGCCCCTAAGGTAGGGAAGTCTGAGCCTAAATTAGATGTCTCTGAGCCCAGAACTCTATAAACCAGCCTCCTCATTTTATGCCAGCTGTTATTAGCCTGTGCCTTGGGGGAGGCTGTCTTCATGTCTGCCATGGAAAGAGGTTACAGACCATGAAGAAAGGAGTCTGATCTTTGCTGACTCTACGTTTGTGAGGAAAAACTTACAGTGTGGCTCACCCAGGCTCAGCTGCCTCCCAGGGCTGTGCTGGCTTTCTTGTACCTGAGAGGAGAGAGAGAAGATGAGGACTGCTAGGTAGTGGATCCTTCCTGGCTCTTGCTTTCCTGCAGGCCCTTATAGATTCAAGGTTTCTTTTTGAAGAGCTTTAAAATCTTGTGGATGTATTTCAGAAGTGCAAAGTGTTAGTATTCACTGTTTGTGTGTTAGCGAAGAGGATGATAAGGCTTTTCTGCATTCCAAAACCGACCGAAAGTTGAGCTCCTCCCTGGAGAATGCAACACAGCGGAGAAGTCAGTTTAGTTTGTCTGTGTCAGACACTTGCAGAAATACAGTGCCCAGCATAGCCGATGCAGCCAGCATAGCCGATGCAGCCAGCATAGCCGATGCAGCCAGCATAGCCGATGTCTGATGAATGCTCTAGCTCAGTGTTTGACTTAGTTGCCTTGGTAGGCTGTGTCTCTGTTTGTGTGTATATAGCATCCATATCAGTCCGCTTGTCTCTCTCTTCCTCCCTCCCTCTCTCCTCATGCCCTTTGGTTAGACCTCTTTACAACTAAATTATATTTTCAGTACTATGCTTGTACTCTTTGTAGAAGATTATCAGGGGATGGCTTCTTTGAAGCTTAAGGAAGACTTAGGGAGCATCAGAGGCTGCTGAGAACCTATCTGACATTTTTTAACAAGCAGCTTGGAGCATTGGTACCTTTAGCTAGTCCCTGTGTCCTGCTCCCTCTTTCCTGCCTAATCCCATGCTTAGTGTACTCACTGCAGGGAGGTGGTCAAGGAGATCTCTCCAAACCATCAATGGCCTTGCCATTTATTAGGTCTTTCTTGGCAGCAGAAGCAGAACACATATCTTTTTTCCTTATACTTGGGATATTTTTATTTCCTATATCCCACTGTATATTGGTTACAAAAACCCAAGAAGATATTTTTATAGTGTTTGCGATAACAGTTATAGCAACTTCAAGAAACAAGGGACTTTGAGAAGAGGAGAAGGGGCAACAGGAGCCTGCTTGTACCAAGCAGTGTTGCTGGTCTCCATGGGCAACTGGTTCTCGTGCTTGTGACGTAGCTCTCACAACCCCACAGTCTGGAATCATGCTACCAACCTTTTTTTCCTTCTTGACTCTGAGTGGTGTTCCTCTGAAGAGTAGGAGCCATGCTTAGTGGCCTGGAAATGGAGGCCCCTATTCTTACTGCACTTGGTGGCAGCAGAGGACAAGTCCTTCATAACCTGAGCTGGAATTCACAGAGCTTTTTCTAGTGAGAAAGGAGCTTGAGGGGATCAGGCCACAGCACAGATAGCCTGGACCTTTTAAAAGAAGGCAATGCATGTCAAATTTCCTTCTTCCAGAGTAGCCTGGGACGTTAGTCACTGTTAAGGTTTTTGTAAGAAAATCATCTCCAGAGAACTGGTGGGCATAGGAGCCCATTTGAATCTTGGAGACTACATATATATATATACACATATATATATACACATATATATATACACACACATATATATACACACACACATATATATATATATATATACACACACACATATATATATATACACACACACACACATATCACTAGCACATCAGGACTCATTAAAGAAAGGAGAGGGTAAATCTAGAAAGACAGGTAGGGTAAATCTAGAAAGACAGGTAGGATCTTGATAGACAGGAGTGAGGAAGGGCATCCTAAATGTGTGCATGTGCACATGAACCTTCATTACTGACCTTCCAAGCGAGGACTAGTTAGAAGAACTAACTCTGAATGTTTGTTTTTGGAACATTATGTCAGGCCAAGAAGAATCAGGTCAAGACTGTTAGGCTCAGAACTGCTGTCTTTAGAAGGGCCTGCTTACAAAGTTGGCCATCAGAGTTCATTTGTACCTTCTGTAGAAGGTAACTGAGCCTGAATCATTTATGAAAACTACACAGTCTATGCTGAAGCCCTGATTTATTGCTGGAGTCTAGGATTGTTGCCTGAATGAGGCAGACTGTGCTAATGAGATCAGCCCCTAATGAAAAACCTGGCCACCCAGTCTCTGTTGCGGTTCACATCTGCTATCATGAGTGACTCCTTGGGCAAGAGCACTCTTGAAAACCTGTGTTTGGTTTCTGGTACACTCATGTCGTCCTATGCATCTCTCTCTCTCTCTCTCTCTCTCTCTCTCTCTCTCTCTCTCTCTCTCTCTCTCTCTCTCTTTAATTGTTTTTTTACCATTTAATCTTTCATTTCAATACATCATTGCCATGAATACCAGTGTGTCTCGAGTCTGAGTTATCCTAGTGAATCATTGAAGCTAGAGATGGTTTGGGGTTCTTGAACAAGAGGCATAATGGTGATTATTATTGTATATGTGGGGTAGGGAACATAGTCTACTTGGAAAGTGCATAAAATAAGTAATTCTCCTAGTCCTTTCTTGTAAGTTATTTTTTTATGATCAAGATTTATGTGCTTTTGAATAAAACAAAAGAAATGTGAGAAATACACTTTATAAGATATTTTCATGTGGCATTAAATTTATCATAAGCTGCAGGAGCATCAGGTACTAAGGGTCTTATATCTTGTTGAATTATAGAAATTCAGAAGGCGTGTTCAAGAATCTACACAAGTGCTAAGAGAACTGGAAATCTCATTGAGAACCAACCATATTGGGTAAGTGTGCCTCTATAACATGTTAGCACTACCATTTTCTGTTAGAAAGTGACTGAATTGTGCTGAAGAATTGAGCATCTAGATTTACTGAAAGACCAAGGTTCAGATGAGGGGAGTTAGTCCCCTGATCATTGAGTGTAAGAATCAATAGAGGCGGAACAGATAGTCCTTGGCTTGGGTGTGTATAGGAATTCTGTGTTGACTTGGTTGGGTGAAGTAAGTATGGAGGGTTGGTGACAAGCGCTTGGCTTTCTGCGTGTGTAACAGTGCTGACAGCTGAGGAGCGTTGGAGAGCGGTGTGAACTGAGACCTTTCACTCTCTCCGCCCTCAGGCTGCTTTCCTTAATTTCTTTCCCATCACAAAGGATGGCAACTGGAGTGTGTGGTCTTTGCAATTCAGACATGTTTTGAGTCTTTTTCTTACATGTTAAGCACTTGAGATCATGAAGTATTGCACCCAGGGAAAATGAAGTTCATGGAATCACTGCACTAAATATTTCTGAGAGTTCCTTTCCTGCATCAGTATGGTTGCTTTGCCTCAGACAAGTAGAGCTTTTTTACATTTCCCCTTATTCTTGGAATGACATAATACATAGTATGTTAGTCAGGTAGTTTATCTTTAAATCTGGATGATACTGGGTACCTGATTTTGCACTCTTGGTTCTTCGGAAAGTACGAGTCTTGCTTTGTAGACAAGTCTTTCTCAGATTGGCCTTGAACTCACTATGTAGCAAGACTGGCTTTGGACTCAGAGCAATCCTCCTGTGTTAGCCTCTCAAGTGCTAGGAATAGAGACATGAGCAAAGTATAGTAAAACATTGGGTAAGTATTTACATTTTCTGGATTTTGACTTTGTGGGTTTACCATGAGAGAGAGAAGACTAAAGACTATAGGCTTCAGTATTTTTCAAATGTTCCCCTCTGACAGTTCTTGCAGGTCTGTTGAAGTGGAGTTCTATATCAATATTATACTATAGCTCTACTGAGTATTCTGTAAAATAGATATATGACATACATAGCAATTTGCTTCTGTTTTAGGCTGATTGATATAAGCTATTTGGATATTTAACTAGCACAGTTACTTCAAATTTTTATTTAAGTATGGAAATGATAGTACAGGGTCCTATTGGGAGATTTTGAGATAGAATGCCCATTTCTTAAAGGCTACCTTGTCATGCTTGTTACCTTGAGAACGGAGTCTTCATAAAATTAACGGATTCTTGCCTTTGTCTCCAAAAATGGACTATAGAAAAAAAATCATAAAATCATGATTTTGAAACTGGGAAAAATTGTCTGATTTCATTTTCAAGACTCAAAGAATTAAGGACCTGAGATGGGTGTGTGAACTGCAGTGTCCACAGCTATAAGGCCAGTGCATTGGCTCAAAAATACTTTGGTCTTTTTTTCTGCACTGTTTTTCCTAGCAGCCCTTTCTGAAAGTATTAAGGCAGTCAGGGCTCTGGGGTCAAAACATCTTGCCTGCCTCAAGATGGAGGTGGTAGTAGTTTAATACAGTGGGGTACCTGAACTTAGGAAATTAAATAGCTCCTGCTATTTATGAACCAGGAACCATAGCCTATTTGATAATGGCCCAACTCTATGCCTTGGCAATTCTCAGCTGAAAATGGTGGGGAAATTTACAGCCAGGATTTCTACAAATTGTTGAAAAGCATATCTTCAAGCATTGCTGAGATAATGTGAACTAGCCCATCAAGTCTAAAGCAGGAAGTTCAGTTCTAATACAGAGTAGGCAGACCAGATGAGCCTGTGCAGTCTGCAAGCAGCTGGAGTGACTTCTTGTTTATGTTACAGTAGGCATGCTGAGCGATGCTTCCTCCTTCTGTCTTCGCCAGTTGAGATTTTCCCACTTGCCTGGTACTGTGTGAGACCCTTGGAAAAGTGGCTATAGCTGCAGAAGAATTCAAGGGGGTGCATTGTCTGTGTGCAAACATCGCACAGGCTCACATTGAACGAAACCACACACTAGGATTTGACTTCTCTTGCCTATCTTGAAGACTCAAATATGAACCACTCCTTTTGTTCTGCTAGCTTACTGGCTTGACCTCATTTGATTGGAACAAAGTCTGGAGAATTACTAACGAATTTATCGATTACCACCATGAGGAATTTTAGCATGCTGTGACAGACAGGTTGTTTTTTGTACTCTGGGTGAGATAATAGAAAGATAATTGGGCACCTGTTTGTATGATGAAGAGAGCTTGATGCAGGCCTTTGCCATGACCCCTTTATGACTTTGACCTTTGATAAGTTTAAATTACAGAAGCTCTCTGCACTTACTGTGTGACCTAAATTAACCTCTCCTGTTAAATGAAAGTTAGCAGTGCTTGGCTCATAGGAGTGAAACGCCTTTTATAGGATCTGATGCACGATACTCAATATATACCATCTATTTGGTTTTTTTTTTTGTTTTTTTTTTTTATGTTTTTCGAGACAGGGTTTCTCTGTGCAGCTTTGCGCCTTTCCTGGATCTCGCGCTGTAGACCAGGCTGGCCTCGAACTCACAAAGATCCGCCTGCCTCTGCCTCCCAAGTGTTGGGATTAAAGGCGTGCGCCACCACCGCCCGGCCGGTTTTTTATATTTTATTTTCTTACACTTGCTGAGGAAAGTATCTACAAATCAACAACAGTATATAACATATTCATAAGGAATTCCAGGTGTAGAATGTGATTTACCTAAAATGACCTGAGCACTTAGGAGATTATGATTTTTCAGAAATTAAAAGCTGAAATTACACTTAAAATCCACTTGTCCGGAAAAAAAATTATTCTTGGCACATGCTTGAGTTTCAAGGTTAAAGTAGTGAGTGGGCTTTGCTGAGGTGACATTCTGAGCTGCAACTTTGTCATGAAGTGTTTGTGCTGAGCTTTGAGATAAACCCAAAACTCCATAAATGGAGCAATCTTTTGAGAAAGAGAATTTTTTGAGCTATGTTGAAATAAGACTTTGGCTAGGAATAATCCTATTCACTTACTGTTAGGAGCTATAGCATTGGAGAAGAATTGGATTATGACTTATCCAAACCCCTGAAATTACTTGAAATACCCTTGAAAAAGAACCGAGTATCATTACAACGCACTGGCAAGCAGTATGAGTGGGCAGAAGCCAAGTTGCGTCAGATGTCTGGGCGACTGCTGTGGTGGTGAGGGTGTGCTGGAGAGATTGCCAGCTGTATTCCATGGAGCTGCGGTGTAGGTGATTTATTTTAATGCCATTGCCTGTAATGACGGAAAATTACTTTTCAGTCTGAATGCAAGGTCGCAGACATTCTAAAAGATGTTCACCTCACTTGTGTGTGGTTGAGACAACAGGCATGAAGAATGTAGCAAACTGGCCAGGGGTTGGGGGAGTATGTAGAAAGGAGAAGGCGTTGAGAGACTGCATCATGAAGGTCTGTTCTCCTAGACTGTCAGGCTTTCTGTGGGCCAGGGATGGCTGGAGCTGGACCTGGTCAAGGAGGAAAGAGAAGAGAATGGCCAACACTCTTCTAAGATGTGTACAGTTTGTGTGTGTGTGTGTGTGTGTGTGTGTGTGTGTGTGTGTGTGTGTGTGTGTGTATGTGTGTGTGTGCTTGCTTGTGTGTGTGTGCATGCGTGCATGTGTGTGTGTGTACACGCTCACACATGTCTACCCTATGATCAGTCCATTCTTACATGGTGCTGCTTTGGAAATCTTCAAAGTCATAGTCATTTTTAAGTTAGACACTTGGACTGTACTATTTCACAGAAAAATGTTTGTGTTATTGCTCTGTACCCCAGCCACTGTTATGTGTATGGGAAGACTGAGGTCAGCTGCTAATCACTTTACTCCACTCCATATCAGCTAGAAGCACTGAGACTTGAACCATAATTTGTCTACATCTAAAGCTTGTTGTCCACACCAACAGTCCCCACACTTTTTGACATTCTGGACTCCTTTATTCTAGCTAATGGTTTTGAACTCCAATAAATTGTTGTTGCTTATATGAATTAGACCTAGTAACATTTACCATGTTAGAAAGTGAAACTGACAGGTTTTCAGTTTATTTAATATGTGATATTTAGTAGCAAACTTTTAATATATAAACATAAACACTGCTGTGAATATTAACACATAGAACATTTCATGAACTATAGCTATTTAACAAAACAACAAAAATTCTCTGTAAAGGATAGCTTCATTTATTTCCTCATAAACAATTCTTGAGAATTTTCTTTCATGTCTTTGTAACAGAAGGCATCTGGGTTTTCATGACACTGCATTCAGTTTGTTTTGATATTTACCTTTATTTGGTATAGATAAAGAATATTTAGAAAATATGAGTTTTTAAGTGGCTTTTTCAAATAATTGTGGAGATTTTTCTGATAGCACACTAAAATTCTCTGAGTGAAAATGCCCAAAGGTGCTAATAATGTACTGAGTTCTCTTCAAATCCATTGTTATCACATGCTCTGAGAGGATGTTTCTACCCATGGATCCCATCACATGGTTCCTGTACCAGTCATTTGGAAAGCAGGCTTGATGAACTACACTATTCTTTCCAGTTACCTGCTCTGCTCTTTCCAACGTGCCATTTTAAAATTACTATTTTTAAAATCGTTTTTTGTTAATAATCACTGCTGCCATTAGGATACAGTTTTAGTTGTCATAAAGCCATCGAACTAATATAAGCATAGTTTTCCTAAATTCTTTGTTGTTTTTTTGTTTTGTTTTGGTTTTTTGTTTTTTTTGTTTTTTTTTTTTTTTGTGACAGGGTTTCTCTGTGTAGCTTTGCGCCTTTCCTGGAACTCACTCTGTAGCCCAGGCTGGCCTCAAACTCACAAAAGATCTGTCTACCTCTGCCTCCCGAGTGCTGGGATTAAAGGCGTGCACCACTACTGCCCGGCATTTTTCTAAATTCTTAACTTTTATTTAAGCTGAAAATTTATCATTAGTGACAAATACTGCCCGTTTCCCTTGAATCAACAGGCCATCTTTATGCATTTTTGAGGAAATGTCTTTCAAATACCCAAAATGTTATCATCATAGTTTGTAAGTCGTTTTTACAGGTGAATTGGTAGTCCATGAAGAATTGGCTCCTTCTTTGACCCCCTCAAGACTGCCCAGGTGCATGGATGGGCAGCAGATGGTTTTTATGTGGCCTCTAATTTGTCACAGAGAAACTGAGTACGATGTGTGCTCGAGCATCAAGCTTTAATAAAAACTGACTCTGCTCCTCAGTGGGGATGCTTCTTGCCCCAGCATTGCATAGAGTGAAGAATGTGATAAACAGATCTCTGCTTAGTTCTCAGCAGTTTTACCAAGCCGCTTTCACAGTGAAGCATGTCAGGGTCAGCAAAGGTCTTTGGTTTTGTTTTGTTTAGGTGCTGGCAGTTTAAACCCAAGGCTTTGCATGTATCAAGCCTTAATACTTTTAGGAAAATAGATCAACCCTAGAGGTATGCTGAGAGACCTTCAAGGACTCCTAGCGGTGATGGGGTACGTGTTGAGAACTGGGTTGCTACAGTGTTCAGTGGTGGGTTTGGCTCTGGGTGATGCTGACCTCTCCCTTGCCCCCCTGTTTTCTCAGCCCCCTTCAATCCAGCTACCCACCCGGCTGTCAACGTTCTCTGCAGGAGCCTGGCAAAGGGGTAACACTTGTCCCTTCCCTTTGTGTGTCTTGCCATTTGCTTGACCTTGGGAGCTGTACACCAGGAGGGGTTTTGAAGACTTAATCTTCTGTCTGAAGGAATTTGGCTCTAAGATTTGGGGAGGCAGGGAGAACAAAACTCTGAAACCACGGGTGCACAGCCTGCATTTCAGTATGACTTGTTTGCATTTGCACGTGAAGCCCTTCTGTGGATACAGCCCCCGCTCCCCCTGAAGTTTTTCTCATTATCCCTGTCTCTCCAAGCCTCCAAGCATCTGATTTGGAATTTGCCTAAATTCAAATTTATAACATATGGTAATCACATTTGAATTTGTAAGGCACTCAGGAAGTAATACATACTGTCAGAGTCAGAAATAATTCTGTTTTCCAAAACTTATAATCACCCAATTTGAAACTGTTTGCCTATTGGCAGCATATAAAACAGTCTAGAGCATGCACAGAGGGAAGAGAGCCGTACAGATGTGACAGACTTACTGTGTGATCAAATGCATAAGTTTACAGCATGAAGTGTCCACCCAGTTATTTCTATTTATTTGTGTGCATGGGGGCAGGGCAGATGTGGAGATCCGAAGACAACGTGTGGGAGACAAGTGTTTCTCTGTCCTGTTGTGTGCGTCCCAGGGACTGAGTTCAGGTTGCCAGGCTTTGGCGAAGAGTCGCTACCTGTTGAGCCAAGTCTCTGGCCCCCATATTCCTTTCAGACCCTGAGATTTGAGATGCCCCTTTCACATCTGCCTTTTCACATCTTTACCCATGTTCCTTCCTTACTCTTAACAGTTCATGGATGCAGAATTTCCCAGTCAGAGAAGGGATGGGGATCAAGAGGATGGGGAGAGAGAGGGCTGACTTGCTTTACAGTCCAAACCCTTACTATGGAGTGCCTTAGCTAAGTAAGTGCCATGGATACACCAGGCAAGGTAGTCAGTGGTGAATGCCTAATGTCTCAGTCTTTCCTTAAAGCATTTAGTCATGTTGGAGTGACGTCCAAGGAGGAGCCTGCAACTTTAGGACCAGAATCCGCTTTGTAATATTAAACCAGAGGCAAGTCATGCTATTTTAGGATATAAGCAATGGGTTCCTGTCTCACTTTGAAAATTACCTTTCTGGGACTTTTGCTTATAGTTACCAAGTGAGACATCAGTTAGGATGTTGTTAAAGTAAAGAAGCAAACTAAACCTTATTCCTTCATCAGAATCAGCACGTTGAATCAAAAGACTTATAGACCTGCTGTCCTGGGCTATTTCCTGCTTTGTTGAGTTCAAGTTCCTCATGTCTGGGTCAGTTTTCCTCCTTTGTAAAGGTGTGGCTGACCTTCCTATCTAAATGAGATGGAGGTGCCAGTGGTCGAGTAGGAGCAGATCATCATGACGTCCTCGGTGTCTGTGCTCCTTATGGAAGTGTCTGCAGAAGAACTTCAGTGGCTGTTGCTCTCAACTTCCACATTAGTGAGCAACGGAATAGAATATGTGAAACTGAGCCTGTCCTGAATAACCTGGAATTTAGTGGTTCTCTTTCATGTTAAAAAGACACCAATCGGAGAGATGGCTCAGCTGTTAAGAGCACTGGCTGCTCTTCCAGAGTACATGGGTTCAATTCCCAGTGCCCACATAGCAGCCCACAAATATGTATTAATTACAGTTCCAGGGGACCATACACCCTCATACAGACACACGTGCAGGCAAAACACCAATGTACGTAAAATAAAAATAAATCATTAAAAGAAAAAAAAGAAGACCCCGATCTCTGCAGGACAGTTTGCACTGTGCAGTCAGAGCATTGGGCCAGAGTAGTGGGAAAGTGAAGAGGAAGAAGCTCAGGGTTGCCATTAGCAACATCACCGACATTCACAGGGAGTGCTAGGCATTCCCCAGTCCCTGCCACTTACAAGAAATAGCGTTTCCTCTTCTGTTTCTAAGCTTCTATCATTTCAAAATGTTCAGTTGCCAGGCAGTGGTGGCGCACGCCTTTAATCCCAGCACCCGGGAAGCAGAGGCAGGTGGATCTCTATGAGTTCCAGGCAGCCTGGTCTACAGATTGAGTTCCAGGATGGCCAGGGCTGTTACACAGAGAAACCCTGTCTTGGGGGGCAAGGGGGAGCTCACTGTCTCTGGAGACTTTATTGCACAGGGAGGAATTAAATAAAGTATCTGGAAGTGGACATGGTGAGATCATGCGTGTGTTGTTCTGGAATTTTCTGCCTCCGCCAGTACACAGTACTGTGAGCTGTGTTTAGGTCTACTAACAAAGCCACTCTGTGAGACCCAACAGATGAGTTTTCTTTGCCAATGTTGCCACTCCAGGCTCCTATTAAATGTTCAGTTTACACACGGTGATGGTTAAGTGCGTATCTTTGGTGGTAGCTATCTGAAGTACTTGAAAGAAGAATCTAAGTCAGGCTGTCTGATTTCTCACCTTCCTGACTCCTCATACTTCCTGTATACCTACCTGTATATCAAGATGAAAGGGCTAGAAGATGGGAGACAGGAGAAAAAGTAAAAACCATACAGCAAAACAAGCAAACAAAAAGACGTCTGGAGTCTACTAGAATCTTCTTGTACCACAAACCTCTTAAAGTACTGTTCTCCCTTGGACACATAGACCATTTCTCTGCTGCTGTTTTCATAGCTAGCAAGCATGGCTTCCACAGTGGCTGTGGTACATCCATTCCCAGAGGGACACAACCACTTTGGATTACAGTGTGTGGCTGTGGCTTGTGTTATTGCAGTGATCTTTGTACCCTTCAGTTGGTGGAATTTCACACTGAGTGAAGGTTCCTTCTGACATCCTCACAGTCTCTGATGAGGAAGGTTTGGGAGGAAATGTGTGAAATCAGGTGACAGAATTTTATCCTCAGGCCTTATCACCTTGTCTAGTGGAGTCATTAGGAACAGCAAATACAAATGTGTGAGTATTCATGGTGAACTGGTACACAGTACTCAAATGCAAGCTAAAAAGAATGGTGTAAGACTGGATCGTTAAAACTATTTGTCACATGTTAGCCTGTGGTACCTGCCATCTTTTAAAGGTTTTCATACTCGTGGAAAAAATTAAGCAAGTCATTATCCCTATTGAATTTCCAGAAGCCAGTAAACATCGGCCCCTCATTGGTGGTTTAGTGGTTTCTTCAGCTGGGTGTGCCAAGAAGGATTGAGCATGGATTTGGAGTCCTGCCTGCATCTCAGTGGCCATGGCACCATGTTCCCAGTCTGTCTCATTCTTTGTCTAGTCTTGGCTCTTTCTGTAACCAGGCTAGGGATCATTTATGGTTGAAAGTACGTTAGGACAAACTCCTTTTCTTAGACATTTTTTTGAAATTGGTTGTCTTAAGTCTTCAGCCAGTCAAATGCAAGGATGGCATGTAAGTACTTTTTGCTCCTTATTCTTACACAGCAACCTATGGTTTTCATACCCTATCCAGAAGTGCCTACTTCCTGTAAAAATAGTTGAGCCTATCTTCTATATATATGCTTTTAGATTTTGGATGTTTCGAGGGAAAAACCAAAACTACCCACCATGTCCTTTCCATTGATCAGTGTCACCAGTAATTCTTTTTTCCTTCCCCAGATGGGTCAGAGAGTTTCTGAATGAAGAAAACAAAGGCCTCGATGTTCTCGTGGAGTATCTATCCTTTGCACAGTATGCAGTCACGTAAGTAAAACTTAGCTCGCTTGCATATCAGTTTCACATGGTCCCAGAAGATGTAGCCCAGCGGTAAAAATCACATACCTCACTGAAGGCAGAAACCCACAAGCAGATGGGGGGGAAATTTAAAAAGATTTATCTCTGATTTTTTAGCTAAAAACAAGTCACATAATTTGTATTAGAAATGTCTTTAAGGCAGAAATAAAACAGGTGAGTAAAAATCACCTTGAAGACCACCAAGCTATGTGAGGGATCACACCCAGGACCTGGCCTTGTTACTGAGCAATATCCACAATACAAAAAATTGCCTTTCCTGAGGGCTTAAGTTACATGAATCTATGTGATAGAATACTAGAGTGGTATATAATACATTGCTGAATAAATAAAAGAATAGAAAAAAAAAGAGAACGTCCTTTCATTTTTTATTGAATTTTGATATGCTGGGGATTGAAGCAGGGCCTTGCACAAACTAAGCCTGTATTCTACCACTGATCCACACCCCAACCCTGTGATACATCTGAGGTGTAGGTCAGTAGTAAAGCCTTTGCTTATCATGTGGGAGGCCACATGTTCATTCCCAGCACTGAGGGGGAAATGACACAGGTGTGTTGTTGTAGGTTTTGGCAAGTGAACAGATAAGGACGCAGTGCTGGACATCGACATAGTGGCCCAGGAGGATGGAACACTGTTGTTCCCTTTTTAAAATTGTCTATATATTTGCAGTCTTTGGTTTCCTACCACATGCAGGGAAGGAACCTGGAGCAGGGCAGGAAAAAATTAAGTTGCTTAGCTATATTATTCCACATGGTTCTTCGTTTTCATGACTTCTGGAATGGTTTATAACAGGGCTGCAAAGTGTACATTTGAACGAGGCATTTTGTTTCCAACATTTTTCTTTAATCAGGAAATTGTCCAACGTCCACAGATAGTTTCACTTGTGCAGGGTGAGGCAGTAATGACGCTGTGTTTTTAATTAGTCATGGACAATGCTTCAGCTCAGGTGCTGTTTGTTCTTCTCCTTGCTGTGGTTGTGTGTGTGTGTGTGTGTGTGTGTGTGTGTGTGTGTGTGTGTGTTTTAAGACAGGCTCTCAGGCTGTACAGAGGCTAGCTTTAAATTTGTAATCCTCCTGCCTCTGCTTTCTGATTACATTCCACTCTGCTTTTTCCAGAGGCAGACATATTTAGTTTGATTTTATGTATATGAGTGTTTGTCTGCATGTATATATGTGTACTACCTGTTCTCTTGGTGCTCATGCCATGGAATCCAGAAGAGGGCATTGAGTCCTCTGGAACTGGAGTTACAGATGGTGTGACTGCTGTGTGGGTACTAGGAACCAAACTAAGGTCCTCTGCAAGAGCATCAGGAGCTCTTAAATATGGAGCCCTCTCTCCAACCCCTCCATTCTTTTTAACAGTAACTACTTGTTTTTATTTCCTCACTCCGAAGAGTCTGAATATCCAGCCAGCTGGATAGTTTTCTCTAGTTATGAAGAGGAAAGTACAATTATTCTTACCTTACAGACTCATGGTTATTAACCAAATCTGGTATGATGATTTCTATTTTGACATTTCTCATATACTATAAGAAATTGTTTTCTGAAATATAATTCATAGTGTTCATGCCATATTCCATCAAAAGGATATTTCTTAACTATTTCTGTTACTTTCAAGTCTGCTAATCCTATGATGCATCATATATTATGACAAAAAGAATATTCCCTCTTGAAAATTTTAAAATCTATAGAAACATTGATAGTATTTAAGGAAGACTAAGAAAAATGAGGAATAAAGGAAAAAAGAACATGTTATAATTGTTCACTATGTATAATGAATCCTTTACTTACTTGATGACAGGGCTTGGAAGCCAGATTTCTCAAATACGTACTCATGTTAGACCAGTGGGGGCATGTCTGTGATACTGTGCAGGAATTCTGCAGTGTAAGGCAATAACCCACTGAACACCTGGACTTAGAGTTTGTGTTCTCTGTTTGTGAGCCTTTGGATTTGTTTGGAGGCATTAGCTTTAAACACTTTGTACATTGGTTTTTAATTTGGTTTTGCTTTGTGTAGATATAATTTGTCTTTTATTTTGAATTTTTTTTTTTTTTTACTATACTCTGGCATTAGTAATTCTTCAGCCCATGGAATGTAACACAGCAGGTTCTGATTCTGAAATGGAAGCGTCCACTAATTCAGTGAAGTGTGTGTTTCTTGCATTTTGGTCCTGTGCACATGGGAAGGAGTGAGAGGAACGTATGACATGAGCTCTGTTCAGTGACTTGTGACGTGCCCATTCCGTGAATGTTTTTCATATGTTCCTTGAAGTCCCTTCCATCTCAATAAGAGCCTTTTATTTTAGTACTTCAGGTTTTCCTAGACTACCTAATTCTGCCTCTCTCCTCTTCAGCATTATTCCTGTATCCAAGGGCACGATAGAAATGTCTGTCTTCAACCCCTTTGCTGGCTGCGCCTGTCCCTGCTGTGTGATTAACCTGAACAGTTGGAGAATATCCCCTAGGTTTTAGGTGGCCATTCTGTTTTTTGTTTTTTCCTCCTCTGGCAGTCCTGCTTTATAAGCATCTGTAGATGATTTCCAGCATACGTTATTTTTTCTTCAAGATCGTTGATAGTCTTTCAGAGAATATTAACTGTCGCTGCTGTCTATTTGTTCTGCTGTCTGATCAGGCAGAACTAAGGGTAGAAACAGTATTCTTATGAGAAAGCAGAGTAACTCACTGCATGAGCAAGGATGTGCATGGGATACAAAGGCCTGCTTGTTTAAAGACTCGGTTCCTAAGGCTACACGAGAATGAGCAACTCAACTTGCCACTGATTCCAACATGGTTAACATGAGTAATAACCTCAAAAAATGTCAGAAGAACAACAGTCTTACTTTAAAGAGCACCACATTGGGAAGAGAATCCACAATCAAAGCAAATCCATAGCCTCACTAGTAATGTATTACATATGGTTGGAAAAGTACTTGCTAACACGCTAGGAGAAAATGCTCAGTGAAAAATTGATGGGTAGGAATGAATTAGTATAAGCCTAACATACCAACTTGTTCAAGTCAAATGCAGACAGCTGTAAGATCTCTTGCCTCCTTCCAGCACAGCGGGGATAGTAATTGGTAAGCCACCAAGATGCAAACAATGTACGTCGACCCCATTTTACTTGTTTGTTGTTAATGGTTCTTTTGCCAGACCCTGCGTTTGTTATCCTCATGTTTTCCAAGCTAACACCAGGACCACAGAGGTTCTTTGCATTTCCTTTGGCTGCAAAGACTTCTCACATTATGGTGAAGACGAGGTTAAGGAATAGCAGGTCGTGTTTGTCCACGTGTGTGTCTGAAAGTTAGTGTCTAAGTTTTGAGTAGCATTCCTTTTTTGTTTTAGTTTTGACTTTGAAAGTGTGGAAAGTACCGTGGAGAGTACAGTGGACAAATCAAAGCCCTGGAGCAGGTCCATCGAGGACCTGCACAGAGGGAACAACCTGCCCTCCCCTGTGGGCAACAGTGTGTCCCGCTCTGGAAGACATTCTGCACTTCGGTAAGTGCCTTAATGAGATGCTTCGGCACTGCAGGGTCCTCCTCCCTCTTCTGACCCTGGGTGGACATCATTGTGTCTTTGCACATGGCACTTTCTTCTCCCGTGAATCTAATCAACAGTTTCGTAGGTGTTCATGGCCTGTTCTCTTGGCTAGTACTCTATAGCTTTACATAAATAACACTTAGAAACACCACGTTGTGATTCAGCAGAGGTGAGAAGCTTGCACCAAATAACAGTGAAATAACCTCTAGCAGGTAAGTTCTTAACCTGGATGGATGTTGATGTAGTGACCTCAATACCACTTGCAGGGTAGAGGCTGCACTTTACAATATGAGCATCTAAAGAGCCCTGTAGCTCCATATCTATTTGTGCTGCCCTGTCCTTCCACGGGTCGCTCAGGTGTGTGCCTGTGCAGGGTGTGTTCTTATTCATAGGCCACAGTGTTAGAAAGATACATTTTTATAATCAAGTGCCACTAGGCATGTTCCTTTGGTTAGGTATGCTTCATGTCAACTTGACATTTTCTACTAACGACTCCATCTTGCAGTTCCTGCTGAAATGCCAGGATGCTACAGGAGGATCTGCACTGACTGCCTGTATCAATGGGTGTAATCTCATGCTGTTCATTTAGGCAGGCCGTTCATTCAGGCAGACATGTAATCACTCACTGAGTGGAGAAATAGCTTTTACAATTTTCAAAGCACTGTACTTAGAGCTAACTGCTAAGGAACTCACCACTCACGCTAATAAAGGTAGACGTTACATGTAAATCGTGTTGTTGAAGGTTTCTCAGACCCATGACCTCAATACAGGCTTGTGTGGTTAAAATCTTTATTCCTGGGGCTGCTTGCTTTTTGTAGCTTACTAAAACCTTCTCTTGTTTTTCTGAAATGACCTGGCAGGGCGATATCATCCAAGTGTTTCAGGTTGCCGTGAGTTTTGGGTCACAGAGTGTGTATGTCAGTTTAGAGCCCGTGAGTATTTGGTTTCCAGGCATTTCACATTTAGTTGCCTATTTATTACCTTTTACTCCTTTGACTTGGGTTTTAATCATACAGTGTTTAAGAAAATATCCTTTTCTGTAATGAAGATCAGTTCTGCAGGAGGATTTGATGTTTGACTATGATGTCTCCAATAAGCCAGTCAGATTTTCTTTATTATAATGCCAAAAAAATGTTGATGGATTTAGGATGAATTGATTCAGAAATAATAAGCAACAATGTTCCAGTTCACTTCGTGGTGTTTGGAGCAGGCCAGGCCAGTGGCTAAATAACCTGCTAGTGTGTGTCAACTTCACACACAGGCAGAGGAATGTATGCACTTATTTAGAAGCTAAAGCTAACTAACTATACACGGAAAGTTCTGTAAGCATCGATATTCAAAAATGCTTTCCACGATTTGACTACAATTACATATCATGATACAATATTGTACAATCATGGTACAATTTAATTTGGTTATTTTTCTTTGTTTACTTAGAAGGTATATATTGGTCAGCTGTCACTTTAACACAGATTCGGTTTTCTAAATAATTCATTGCATGCTTTGGACCTTAGAAGGCAGGGCCCAGGGACCTCAACACTAGCCTGAACTGCTTCATTGTTGGCTCAAGGTAGATCTTGCCTGCCTACATTTTTAATTAGAAAGCTACACGAGAAGTATGGTGATAGGCACAATGGAAGTGTTATTTGGAGAGACATGGGAGCCCTTTGGCCTTTCTGGCAGGTGTGCTCAAAGATGACTAGGAAACCACCATCACATTCTTCCATTTTTGTGCTTCGACGGTTTGAAAGCCCAAGGAAGGGGACACTTGAATATCACCAGAGAGTCGACATGGTGGTGACTTGCATGGCACTTGCTGATTTTAATCTTGCTATTTATTCCTTCATAATTATTGGTTTTAAACAATGTCTATCAATGGTAGTTTAGCTCCTGTGATTCAACAGCAGTCAGAACACAGCTGTCTGGTACATGTTGCTTTTTATATCCCCAAAGATTGTTTACATTTTTCTCTCTTCCTCCTCCTCTCTCCTTTCTTCCTCTGCTCTCAACACTCCTCCAGTTTCTGGTTCTCATTCTATTGCCGTCTTTCTCATTCTACCGTCTCATGTCTGATTGTCTTCTCCGCTTTGTCCCGCGGTCTCTTGTCCTGCTGTCTCCATCTCTTACATCACCGCCAGGCTGGCTTCCCTGCCCAGGTCTCTTCAGCCCCAGTGCCAGCCAAGCTGCTTCTCCTTCTGCTGCCTCTGGAGCAGCTTCAGTTTACACACTGATGATGAGGCTTCCAACCGGAACATCTTGTAAGTCACTGGAGGAAACATCCAAGAGAGCTGGCAGCGCATGGTGGCCTGGTCTTATGACCGTTCCCCATGTTATAATATGGTAGCCTTGTGTCACCCTGCTGCCTATCATATTATAGCTCCTCATCTTAAGAATTGGACCCTTTATAGTAGAATGCGTTTTTATTAATATCAAAATTCTTCTGCAAGTACTATTGTGTTTTCTGATAGTTTTGCTTAGTGAATACATATCTTTATATTAAACACAGACTTGTTTCCTCTGCCTCATCTCCAGATAATAACATAGATATGTGCTCTTACCAGTATCTCTTGCCAAGAAGTATAGGTGAAACTTGGAAAAAATGAGATTTCAGGAGATTTTAACACATTTTAGAAATAAAGTTTGATTAAAGAAGAAATACTCCATTATTAAATACAAGGTCTTTGAACAAAATCCTTTTTGCTAGCACAATTTCTTTCTTGAATTCCAACCTGATATCTTTAATCTACTGCATATTGATTGGAAGGCACCTTAGGACACAGCACACACCCTGAATTAGACCTGCGGCTGGGTTCTGAATCATCATACACATCTGACGCTTGGCCACAGGAGAAGTGTTGATGGCAGTGCAGCAGAGACCTGGCTTGTGCGGTCTCTAGAACATGGCCTGTCTCCAGTTGAGAGTGATCCCACCAGTGTGCCTGTAGATCCAGCTTCATTAAGTGATGGAGTCCTGCACATCTGTGCACCGCATGACTTAAGGATCATGTGGAATTTGAGAAGCATGAAAAAGTAATTTTAAGACAGCCAAGATGAATGCTATTAGACCTGAATGAGATGTGGTAGTGACAACATAAATACTTTGAGTTTTTTAAGGAAACAATGGAGAACTAACTTGGACCTGGAAGAAGGGTCAGGTTTAAACTGGGTCTTTGGGTGATGGGTGGAGTTGGTGCTCAGGTTAAGAAAAGGCTACTCCACACAGGGGTGAGGGGAAGAGGCATGAACTGAGCAGAACCTTACATCAAGGATCAGGCATGTTTGAGGGACAAGCCATGTGATGTGACAGAGGTAGTTCTAGCACGGAGAGAGTTCAGAGTTCAAAGGTGGAAAAGCTGTGGACATCACCCCAGCTTGCCTTCTCACTTGCATGAAGGTACAGTGATCCATTGCTTTTAGGATATTAACCACTACCCAATATTTCTTCTGAAATGAATATGAAATGAATGTTCTGCCTCCATGAGATGTCATGGTTTCCCTCAGGCTGCTGTTTTTGTGGAACAGCATTTCACAAGTAGTTATGATCTGACCGATTATACCTGTTACCTGTGGACTCAGCAGTGAGCTGAGTGTAGGCTTATCTTCTTATTTACACTTCTGACCAGTCACCCCATTCCTCACCTTGTTTAAAAAAGATGTAAACACAGACACGGATGGCATCACCATGACTTTCATTAAATGAGCAGCGTGTGGCAGACACTGTGCCGAGAGCATCCATCTAGTGATCTGTGGGGACTGCTGATGGTGTCACCAGTGTTAGCTCTAAGGGTTAAACATCCCTGCCTGTGATCAGTGAAAGAGGAAGTGAGGTGGTGAGGTGGTCTGACTGCCGCTTCCCACTGTGCTGTCCTACCTCTTTATTCATGTGGAATGTATTCTTGTTCCTCCTGGTAAATGTCCTGTTTGCTGATTAGTGTCCACAGAAGCTTTCTGTAATCCTCAGTTTGTCACCCTAGAGCCTTGTGAGCTCTTGGAAATAAGTGTATGGGAACAGCAGCTCGGGGCCATTTCACTTATAACACAAGCTTATTTGAGAGTTAAGCTTTATTTTTTTCAAGTAGTGTTTTACTCAGAATTTGTTGGGGAAATTGCCACATTTTTAGCTTCAGCCATTACAGTCTCGGTTTCTCTTTGTCTCTCTGTCCCGGTGGGATCTTTGTCTCTCTCTTTCACACTCGCACAAACACACAGACACACACACAGACAGACACAGACACACACACATGTATAGACACCCACAGAGACAGGCAGACAGACAGACAGACAGACAGACAGACACACACACACACACACACACACACACACACACACACACACACACACACACCGGTTTGAACTTATTTCCATCTTACAGAGGAAAGAATGTCCCCTGAGGTGCCATTCTCCTCTCGTCCTCTCCTCCCCTTTCCCCCATTCTGATTTTATGATTTCTTTATTGAGTTGTCATCTGAATTTTATTCTGTTCTTATTTCTTCTCCTTGTTAGCATTTGTTTAAATTTTCCATCTGAAAGGTTATTTAGTGAAGAACTTGACTTACTGTTGGCCTAGGGGATCACTAAAAAGCGGAACGTTATCAAGAAAAAGACTTTCAAAATGCTCTGCTCTAACATTGAGTTTTATCTGTCACCAAGTGAGGTGGCAGATGGTGGTGACATATTAGTCACCTGATTTAGAAAGGGAAAGGCCACTGTTCTTGAATAGAGACAGTGCCGATCTTGTCCCTGCTGTGCTGTCTGAGGTATGTCCATTGAGGGGACAGTCCACTGAGAGACTGGCAAGAACAGTCTAGAACCCGTGTCGTGTTTGAGGCCTGGCTGCTTCTCAGTGGTGATTCGCTGGAAGCTGGGGAGGATGGGGGTGGTCTGGGATGAGATGTCTCGGGTGTGGGAGGGTTTCCTGGGGCACTCTTCACAGGGCCGTGTGCTGCTTCGCTAGCTGT